AACATCAATCAGGTCTCCGAGCATAAGGTTACTCTACATATAAAATAGCTGGAAGTAGTAAAAGGCTTTATTTTGGTAAGGGCCTGCTATATCTTATGATTCATGCTCTGGAATGTTTCATAAGACACTATTTTCAAAATGATGTCATCTATGAAGCTAATAATTAATGGCTCTTCCATTCTACTTCATCTTATTTATTATATTTAGTGCATGGCTTAAAGTAAGTTTGCACATTTTCTGAAAAAAATAAAGACTTTTCCTCTGAAGGCACTGTTGGTGTGCTTATTTGAGAATTAGAGGCTGGGGCAGGGTCCCTTAGACAAGCACTTTATAAAATGAAAATGTTTTCTTTTCCAATGATGGCAAGCATTACTTTTCAGATTTTTAAGAGTGCAGCATACAGCTCCTTGGGGAAGCAAAGCCATTTCTGTGGCCGTTTCCCTTTGAGTCAATGAAATCCTCTCTTTCCACCTCTGTTTGTTCTTTCATAGTCTTATTTTCAAGCGATTGTTGCAAATAGCCTGGAAGTGCATTATATTTTTACTCTTAGCCCCGTCTTTAGATTTTTGCCTCTTACTATCTGTCACTCTATTCACTTTTATTTCTGGTAAGATAACTAAGGGGATCATTAAAATACATCATTTCTCCCCAGTCTCATCTTTGCATTTCTCAACTTTAATCTCACGCAAAAGAACAATAAATTCAAACATAGACCTTCCTTCTCAGAACTGCTCTCTCTGCATCCATGTTGCTGGCATAGCAATCCCAAAGAAAGCCCCCAAGGCCAAGCAGTGAGATTTAGGGGCCTCATTTAGTAAGTAGGTACACGAGTCTCCCCCATCTTAACCCTCTCAGCAATTAGAGAGAGGCGAGGAAGTACAGCATTTTATGGCCTTATAATGACATTAGAAGAATGTATTGGCCTTCACCCTCATTTCTCTGTTTACAGTACCAGTATCTTTTTGGTTTCCATCATAGACAATTCTCTTGCGCTCCACCAACATCACTTTCTCTTTCTTTTTGTTCCTGCTCTCTTTGAAATCTTGCCTGCAACCACCTTCCGTCTCTGTTTAATTTTTTCTATCTCTGCCCCCTCATCCCCATCAATCTTCCATCCATTCTTCTATCCATCCATTTTGAAACTGCTGTGGCTTCAAATTGAATAAAAGCTCCCATTCTAATCTTTAATCCTCTAGTGGTTGATGGCGGCTTTGCCAAGGGGAGGGGGCTTTGATAGGAAAGCATTTTTTTGTTTTATGGAGTCTTTGCGTATACACAAATGTTACTATTTTTGACACTTGGCCATCAGGTTTGTACAGCTTTTCCCCAACTGAGTAGGATTTCTCTCCTCCTCATTGTAAGCCACTGTCCATCATTTGCCAGTTATTTCACATGAGCGTGAAACAGATGATTACCCACTCTGTCCCCGGTCCTGCAGTGAATCAATATGACTTGACGGAGTGACTCATTTGACTGTCATTTTCCCATATGCATTAATGAAATATGAAACCATGTGACACACTGTTGGAAATCCACCTTCATAAACACAAATGGACACCAAAAGAGAACCATGCTGCTTACTGAGTCCTGCAGCTTTCAAAGCCAGCTTAGACAGACTCGGCTGCTCCTGAAAGACCTTCTTCCACCGAAGCATAGAACAGACACACTTGAAAGGAAAAGAATGTAGAAGAAATAACAGTGGCATGTATGGTTACTTACTTATAACATCCTCCACCTTCTTTCTTTCTTTATTTCCCTTTCAGAATACAACTGAATCATTTGACCATTTCTTGAGACTCAACAAATCTGGGGTGATTTAGCCCAAAAAATTAAAACTGATTAATACTGATATTGGACAATGTCTTGGGGGACAGTTTCACATTCTTTTACATAATTACTGTATAGCATCCATCCTCTATCATTTAAAATTGCGGAATGCCCTTTTTTGGTGGTCATGGATAGTAGAAAGACTGGGTCATGCAAAAGCAGTGAGTACCTTCTTGGAAAGTGAACCCTTAATACAGACTGAAGAAAGAATAACACTGATGTAAATACAGAGAGTAGTTACATGTGCATAAACTTGAAAGGGGGTGGGGGCAGAGGCAGAGAAACTCTGGTCACTCAAAAGGGAACAGGAGACTGCATGGCTCAGACAGACTGAAAATAGGTGAGTGAGAACGTTAGAACATTAGGAGCTAGAAGAGAATTGAGTTCGACTGGACTTGCTTGATATGCAGTGACTAGAGCTGAACTGAATTGAACTGAAATAACATGAATTGAAGTTATTCTATCATCTGTAGAACATCATTGTGACATACAATTCATACTGCAAGTACTGTGCAAAGAGCTGTGAAGAGACAGTAAAGGACATTTGTACTGGCAGAGCAGGCCAGCAAACCAGTCCTCAACCAAAAGCATCAAAGGTTCAATTCTCTAACAACCAATGTTTCTGGAAGTATCTTTGGCATGTATGATCATTTGATTTGCACTGCTATAGATAGAAGTCTTTCTACTGTTATTTGTGATATTATACAGTATACTTAAAATCCTATTTTATTGCCAATCCAGTGTTTATCCAATTGATTCAAGCATTTATAGCTGGTGTTCCAACGAGTGAAGAAAGGAAAACAGATCCTGCCCATTACCATTTATAGAACCTACAATAGTAATAATAATAATAATAGTACGATATCAAGCACCTTTACTTATAAACCCTTTGGTGTTCCAAGGAGTGAAGAAAGGAAAACAGATCCTGCACATTACCATTTATAGAACCTACAATTGTAATAATAATAATAGTACAATATCAAGCACCTTTACTTATAAACCCTTTTTACACAGAGACTGTGGCAAACTACCGGTGTTTTTACCCTTCTTCAAGGTAGCATTTTTGTTTTAAGCCCCTTTTACACTGAATCCCAGTGCTAGAGACATGATGCTTATCATGTTGTCCAATAGTCAATTTTTAAGTCAAGGCTACGTGCACAACCATTATGAAGGGTCACCACTGACACCCAATGCCTATACTGTACCCTTTATACAGAACAGTGAGGTGGAAAACTGGTGGCAAGCTCTTGCATTGAATGGGCAATGTAAAAAGGGGCTATAAGAGGATTGGGGGTGGGGGAGGGGGTTAGGAATGGTCGTAATCTCAGAAAGTAAAAAACCTTGGACTGGTTCCAAAACAAACTTTGAAGAAAAATCACACTATCACTAGAAGAGAGTCTCATCAAATGGGAGAATGAGAAGAACTGAGAAAAAAAAAACATTTTCTTTTCCTTTCACTGCCCCTCTTCTTTAACCATCCTGTTATATTTGTGTGTGGTGGCAACCATTCTTGCCATGCTTGCATGATAGAAACTGATTTACTGCTGCATTCAGCTTCTGAGTGAGAGTGTGAGAAGATTACTCTCTGAAAGACTGCTCTCTTTCATAACCGCTGAAACAAGGTGGTTCTTCTCCCAGTTTCACTCCTGGGTCTTGCCTTTTGTCTATGCTATTCCCTTTTGGTAACACTTCCATCCCTGCATCCCTAAAACGCCGGGGCTTTTTAAGTTCTAGTGGAATCTGGAGAAAAGGTCATATACATACAAGATGAAATGGAATGTATATTCAGAGTTCTTACACAAACAATGAAAGGGCTAAACATCACTGATAACAGGTTGAGTTTGTAGTGGGATACAGCAATGATAGGAACATGGGTTCATTAAAGTCAATACTGGTAAAGACCTTGTCATAACACTGACAGCTTTCTTTTTGTACTCATATTGAGCATTTATGTCTAAAGAATGTAACATATAGAGATACACTGATCAATAGGCAGATAAACGGTTTTCAACATGACTACCCTTGACCAGCAACCGGCTGATCATTCTCAGATATCTGACTCTGTGCGAGGCAGATTTAGAGTTAACAGTTAACACTGCATGCACATACGCAGTTGCACAAACCAAATGCGTAGCATGTGCAGCACGTAGCATCTCGCGTGCACCTCAAGCCAGAGGAGCGCTCCTGACTATACTGGGCGCATGTTCACTTGCACATTGGAAGTGTTTAATGTACAAAAAGTGTACAGAGGAGCCTACAGAAACACCTTGGAGAAGGTAAAACTACACTTAAATCTCTGTCATATAGTACACAACGAGGGAATTACTGGCTACCATTTAGTTTTATTGGGCCTTTAAAGCAAAGTGACTCAGACCTGATATTAGAGGAAAGTAAAACTGACTCCTTATAAATTCAAAATTAAATGTACAAAATATTAACATGCTACATGAAATTTAATTCTAAAACAATGTAAGATATTTAACAAAAGGGTTGGCCAGTGTCTGCGAAGTAGTCTCACTGTGTGTAATTTCTACATTTCCAAGGGCCCTAATCATATGGTAAAATGGTAAATGGACTGTATTTTATATAGCGCTTTCTCACAGTGTGTTACACTGGCCAAAGCGCTTTACAGGAGATTATACACCATTCACCCATTCACACACCGATGACGAGAGGCTGCCGCACACTGGCGCCAGTCGAACCACCGGGAGCAATTTGGGGTTCAGTGTCTTGCTCAGGGACACTTAGGCATGCGGGGAGACCGGGAGTCGAACCACCAACTTGCTGGTTAGAAGACGACTGCCCTACCTCGTAAGCCACAGCCACCCCCATATAAATAAATAAATATACCAATTCACATAGAAGCAGGTGCTTCTGGTAGGTTCCTCTCCAGAAGACAGAAAGAAATGCATGTGGTAAAGACAAGAGAGAATTTGGGGATGCAGCAAGTGACTCGGGATAGTACGTTCTTCACCGGGCAGCTATAGCTTAACACCAGGGACAGACCCAAAAACAAGCAGGCACACTCCTACACATAACAAAAACACACACACATGCAAACCCCAAACTCATCCCCAGGACACATCTGATTCAGGCAACCAGGTGGAAGAGTAACAGAGAACAGACACAAACATGGGCAACATCTAACCCCAGGGCAAACCAAGCTCTCTTACCTCTTCCATTACTTGTCTTTTCCTGGTTGCCTTCTGCTCTCGGTGGCTTTCGGCCTCCCTTCCTTGCCTTCTGCAGTGAAGACTAACACTGCTGATGCTTCTTCTGCTTCTTGTACTTGTGCCAGTTCCTTTCATGACCTGAAATAGAAGAGGACAGTGAGTTGAAATGAACCATTAAAAACCGTTTGAATGGAAACGAAAAAACTACCAGAATACCACATCAAGAAAAATAAATTATAAATTACTCCATTCATAGAGCCAGACCTCATGGGACTTCAGTTACAGCTTCCTAAATTCAGTTACCTTTCAAACAGTTTCTTTCTCATGGTACAGAAAGAATGTGTGAACCAAGACAGGCAGAAATTGAGATTACAAGTCAACATGGTTTGTGAACCTAAAGCAGCATGTGCTCACATCAAAGTTTGAAGTCAAGATATATTTTGTTATGTTATATACCATCCCAAGTGTTGAGGGATTATTTCTAGCCAGTGTTGTATTTGCAAATAATAGGTCAGATTGCTCAATATAACAAGGAATGAGGTTCATATAAGGGTCAAGGAGCACTGACAGTCAACCAGTGGCAAAAAGAGCCATAGGATGACTATGTTGCTGTCTGGTTGCATGACAGTGATTGATAGTTTGGTGTGTTACTGTGTCCATTTCATTGTTCACCTTTTGTCTGCACTGACTAAGTGTAATTATACTGACATGTAATTGTAGTGTTTGGAGAATGATTTTAATCGGGGTTATATGGCTTTGTAAATTGACACGTTTTGTGTGTATAAAGGTGTCTTACAGGTGTGACAAGTGCCATTGCACACACACATACACACTTTTTGCCATCTCATTCACAGCATACAGCTGCACAGATAAAGCAGGAGCGTTAAGCAAATATTGTACAATGGCAAGGAAACAATGAACCATCTCCATCCCTCCCCTATCGCTCACAAACCCCCACTGTGTGTGTGTGTGTGTGTAAAAATGACTAGCACTGCTTGTCTAAGAAAAGACACCATTGCTCCCCTCCCATTTATTTTAATCTCTATTCTTAACCTCTTCACTCACACTCCGCCTGTAACCCTCGACCCACACCCCTACAGCCTGGTGTCGACCCTCCCCTAAACCCCAGCACTGCAGCAACAGTGCTCCTTTGTTTGCCTCATCCCCTCCTCTCTTCTTGCCCCCTCGCCTTGCCACAAGTGATGCTGGTTGGCGGGAACGGAGGCATGCCGCGACAGGAACGCCGGGGAGGAAAGGAGGAACCAAAAGGTGGAGGAAGGGAGGGAGGGAGAGGAGAAAAATATGTTGGTGGGTAAAGGGTGGGGGGTGTCTATTTGGAAAAGAAATAAGTAGTTGTCTTAGAGACATTTTTTGTCATTCTTTCTCTTGCATCCCTTTAGTTTTCTGTCCATTCAGCTGTACATGACAGGGGCTTCTCAAAGTGTCTTTTTGGGAAAGTGGGAGGTGGGTTTAGAGGGGCTACGCCCTCACTGAACCAACCAATTTCAGTTGCCTGAGACTCACAAAAAGTCGTTTTCAGAGATCTATTTCTGGTTTGGTATAGGGAGCTAACTTTAAACACCAAAGCAAAGATGGGGAAGAGAAAAAGAAACAACTGGATTTTTACTTCTGCTTTTGCATGTGGGTAAGAAGTGAATCATTTACTGCTTGCAAACCAATGATGGTAAGATGATGTCATGGGGTAGGACTGGATAAGTCTGACTTCTTCCTACTCCATTCAAGCATGTAGGTATAAGCAAATTGATATTGGATTATGTGTAAAATTATGTGTGTTGTCATATAAACTGTTTTACGTGCTTGCAAGAATAAATCAAATCAAATCAAATCAAATCATGAACAAGCACTTAAGAGACAGCTCTATTCCTTGGCTTTTACATTTACATGGCTCAAAAATAATATGCTGATATTCCAACGGGCGATTTGTAAAAAAAATAGCCTTAAGTACACAACTTGTAATTTGAAAAAACTTAGAAAAATCGACTGGACTAGGTTTTTAGGTTGAAGACGTTTCACCTCTCATCCAAGAGGCTTCATCAGAGATATTTAACTATCTCTGACTCAACGCCAGTCAACTTGTAATTCCTCATTTAAAAAAAAAGAAAATACCGAACCTTCCCATTGAGGTTAGTCAAGACATAATTTTAGCTGTTTTGTTCTGGTACCACTGCTGGAGTGGTGAACCCAGCTCCCTAATATCATAAATACTGTGTGGGCCATGGGACTGAGGGTGACGGCACAGTAGAGTACTACCTTTTCCCACAAGCAGAGAGACTATTCAGCTCTGAAACAATCAGATCATTAACCCCAACTAATCTACAAACATTGTGTTTATAGAAAATGCCATTCTATCTTAGGCACCCACACAGCCATGTCATGCTAATTCATTCTGTGTGTGTGTGTGATATGTTGTATTTGACAACATGCATGTTGGCACTGCTGTGTGTGTCATGTCTCTCAGTATGCATGTGTGTACACTTATGTGTCATGGCTGCCTGTGTATTCAGTGTCTGCTGTGACACACACAGAAAGAACAT